TCACATTACCACATCCAAATATGGTTATTTAAGACATTGATCATCTTGATTATGTATGTTATGTCATAGGGTTATCAAAATGCCTCTGAAAATTTTGTAAATACGTTAAGTTGCCCTTAGTTAGTATGCTTGATGATAATTGATTAGTCATTAGTGAATTTTTTTACATAAATGTGGTAATTTGGATTATTGTCTTTATAAAATGTGAAGAAATTTCTACCCGTGCGCTTATTTTGAATTTATTTTGGCAGTGTTTGGATGTTATATTAATGGTGCAAGTTCTATATGAATATGTTGGCTTATATGAGGTCGATGGAGAGTACGGAATGCATATATGAGGTCGATGGAGAGTACTGAATGCTTCCAAGTTCCATATTTTGATCTTCATTTAAAAATTAGAATTCAGTTGGACTTTTAATTAATACCAAATAGAAACTAACCTAAATTACCTTTTGTGGAATTGTCTCTGTTAGGTGGCCCTAGTTGCCAGACAATTGGCTCCCTTAGGATCAATTTGTGGAAGCTAGTGGAGGGAGTTTTCAATTTCAGATTTTTTTCTTTTATTGTGTTTCTCTGTCTTTTTTTTATTTCTTTTGTATTTGGTGATGTTGTCCTAGACATTTCCTTTATAAAAAGGGGAGTAATTGGTTTAGAGGAACAAGAAAATACTGTTTCTTCTTCATGGTATTAGAGCTCTAGCTTTGGCTTTGACGGGATTAGGGGCAACTTTTTTCGTTCGCCTTCGACTGAATTGCTCGTTTGTGTCGATAGGCTTTGTCAAATGCTAGACCAGATTGCTTGACTATCTCTTAAGCTAGTTTGGATCACTCGTCTGCGTTTCCGCTCGCTTGGACAACTTGACTGCTCCAACCGCTTGTCTGGTGAGCTTTTCTGCCTCATTTGAATAGTCACTTGACTCGATGCGACTCCTGCAACAATCCTCATTTGTTGGCCCTCCTATCCTTCATCCACCGACCTCCTTTTGCTATCCTCACGACTGCCCTCATTTGCAGGCTCTCCCCGGCTCCTCTTTTTTGCAACCACTTATCTCCATACAGGTCCTCCTAGGCTCTTAATCCTCCATGCAACTGTCGGTTTCCATGCAGAACCTACTCGACTCCTTCCTCTCCTTGCATATTGTTGGCAAGTTTGAATGTCATCCCCCTGACAACCCAAGTACCACTTCTCGAGCAAGCAAAGTAGCCAACCATCTTTGTCATAATAATGTTAAGTCGATTAAGCAAAGTAGCCAACCGTCATCCAACCCTAAACGCACATAATGTTTATGACAAAGTACGGAATAAAATGTCTAGCTATACTTCGAAGGTTAGTTCTGAATCAGAGACCATTAATTCTGTCTAAATAACCCCAAAACTCTCTATCTTTGTCATAATAATGTTAAGTCGATGATCATACCTTTGTCCCAATCCATGTTTATGTACTTTTGTGGAAAAGAAAAATATGAACATATCATGAGAGAGCATAATTCTCAAGCTCACTAATCTTAACCATCACTCATGGAAGATTTAATATCATTTGGCCATGTATTGGTTGATCAATTATATGATCACAAAAGTTGGAGAGAAGCTCTTGGTTTATAGGACAACAACAAAGATTGTTGTGTAAGAAAATACGGAACACCGATTCGAGAATCCGAAGCAAAGCTTAGAACATATGCACACAAAGTAAGAACGTACAAGCAAATATAAGAACACCAAGTTGTAGTACGAAAAAATCTTTGAATTGGAAAAATCACGAAGTCACACCACACTAAGAAATCTACTTTGAAGAAATGTACAGATTACAATACACTCAAGGCTATCTACAACTTGGAACACTCTGGTCGCTCCTCTCTATCTTTCTCATAAGAGAAATTACGAAATCCTTCTTTCAACTAACATGCCCATCACACACCTTTTTCATGTGGTAAAAGATGAAAGATACCCCAAGCTACATGCAATTGGTTACAGGTTCCTAGGTGTTGGGTTTCTGGACACACATTTCTAGGGAACGTTCAGGGAGCAGCAGCACCCTCCGGGGCGTTGGGTTTCCTCGCGCATTGTGGGTGCCTAGGTGCCCCCACTGGCATTGGGTTCCTGTTGTAAGGCACAAAAGCACCGATTGCCGAACTACAAGGCGCTTTCCTAAGTGCTGGGTATTCTCCTAGCCCAATCAGGCTTCACATATGACAATCTTTTACTTTGGGACTCATTTCAACCAATTCTTGTCTAGATCTATACCATCTTAATAGTAATGTACTGTAGAGTAAGTGGCTCAACTCTGATCTCAACATTCCTGAACTCCAATTGAAGTAAGCCATAACTTTTGTTTCTCAACTATAACAACATTTGCCAATATATCTACAAGATTCTGAGTCGTATGTATCTTCTCCAAAGGTACCTGATCACTTTCCATGATTGAATGAATGAAGTAATAACTTAGCTGAATGTGCTTCATCTTGGCATGAAAAACGACATTCTTAACAGGAAGAATGTCACTCATACTGTCACTATGAAAATTTTCATTTCCGCGCTCCTTGCCCAATTCTGTTATAAAGTCCTATAGCCAAATTATTTCCTTGCTATTCTCAGCGATAATAAAATACTCAACTTCTATAATTGATATTGCAACAATTTTCTGCAATCTAGAAACCCAACTCACTGTTGTGTTTCTCAAAATGAAAATATACTTGTTGTATTTCTTCACAATCAATATCTCCTACTAGATTTTATTTTATATATTCCTATAGATTGATTCCTGCACCTCCGAAGCAGAGTGTCTTGTTGACTGTTCCTCTCATGTATCTGAGAATTCACTTCACCACCTCTCAATGATGTTTGTCTGGATTACATATATCTGATGGCCACTCCCACTACATGTGCAATATCTGGCCTTGTGCATAACACTACATACATCAAACATTCAACTGTTGGAACATATGAAAGTCTTCTCATCTGTGTTTGTTCTGCTTCAAACTTAGACAATTATTCCTTAGATAACTTAAAATCACTATCTAAGGGGGTGCAAACTAGTTTTGCCTCACTCATGTTGAACTTGTGTAGGATCTTCTCAACATATTCTGCCCGAGACAACTTCAAAGTGCTTACACTCAAGTTTATGCTGATTCTCATACCGAAATTTTTTTTGGTTAGACCTCAACCTTTCATTTCAAACTCCTTTGATTATGCTCCTACAATCAACACATTATCCACATACAAAGAAACACGATATAGCTATTATCAAATTGTTTAATGAAAAAAAAATTATTTGTCTGATACTTCATGTACTCACTGTCTGACATAAACCTTAAAATCTCTAGCGCCATTGTCTTGATACTTGCTTCAATTCATAAAGATTTTTTTTAGTCTATAGACAATATTTTTTTTTCTGGAACTTGATATCCTTGTGGTTGCATCATATGCAATCCTCTCCTAA